TATTCTACTTAGATACAAGATACCTCAGCATGCTTACTAGTTTTCCACTGTATATACACATATATAGTAACTGTATATATCCAAATATAACACAAGAAGAAAACTTAAGAGAAATAAGATTCTAGGATATAAACTCAAAATAATCTAATAATCCATTAATTTTAATGTAAACATAAAATTTTAGCAAACCTTAACTCATCCACTTAGTTTACTAGTAAATAGCCCTTAGTTTTGTGCAAAGCTAAAAGTGGGGAACTATAAATCATTTACTGATAATAAAAGACGGAATATCTTTTTGAAAATCAATTTTACAAAACATAGGCCACCTTTCATGGCACTTGTCCATACTTTGAGAATCACTGCTTTTGGCCACTCCTGAATTCACCTCTAATCTACCTACAGGAATCAGCAGAGCAGCACCATCTACATCAATAACTGATAACTATTTTTAGGTCATGGATCTCCTCTCAAGAAAAATGTGTACAAATGTAAAATTGTACATAAAATTTCAGAGTTCAAAGATAATCCTGAGGCCTAGCCACGATTTAAGAAGCTCTGCTCAAGACTTTTTTCTACAACCAGGGACCATACCTTTTCTAAATCTCAGGAGTTTACCAAATAATGCCAGGGTATGAGAACAAGATTCATGCAGTGACCATTCCAATTCTGCTGAATTAATAAGGTATTCTGACTACATCTTCAGGTCTGTCAGAGCTTATACTTGATTTTCAATAAGAATAGAGCAGTATTTTTTTAAAGATGTACACTTCCTCTCAATGTAATAAAAATTAATAAATTCCTGTATAAATTTCTTTTCACCATTTCTTTAGCCAATCTACTACTGCCACCAATCTGTGGTGTAGGGAAAATTTTCCTTAAAAAATCATCAATTCCTAGGAATTTACAGTCCATCCATTATATTTATCCTGCAATATTAAGCTTCAAGAACTAGAGATTTTCAAAGTCAAACTATATATAGTTATGGCTCGGTTTCATTTAACTTAATTAATTTGATTAATGTTAAAGAGGTTTTCCTGAGAGTTGCTTCTAAGAATTTTACATCTTCTAGACTAAGCTATGGCAGAGTGGAAGAACGAGCTTGGGCTTTAAAGTAACAGAGACTTTGACCAGAATCTGGTCTATCACTTATTTTTGTGGGATGCTGGTAAATTATTTAAACTCTGAAACTTAGTTTTCTTGCCTGTAGTAAAACAACAATATATACCAAACAGGAACTAATAAGGAGAGTAAATGAACAAAGAAGACAGCAAATTTTTGTTCAACCCTCCTTCCACCTAAGTCTAAAGCCAAACATCTCCATTTCCTTAATGGTGGCTTGTCTGAGCCACACTATCAAGTCATAACCACTTATATTGAGTGATCTGCATACTCCATAATTCTTATAACTAGGTCTGCTCACTGTCCTGGGCACAGTAGCCCACCCAGCTCCTGTTCCTTTCAGTTTGTAGTTGGTACATAAATAGTGTCTTAATTTAATGAAGGTATTTCAAAGCTCCAAACTTAAAAATAAAATATCCAGTCCTTAAGCATCACTATTGCGTGGCTTTCTCAATTTCCACTCACATTTTGTGTATTCATCATTTCAAAGCAACTTATTCATATTAAAAAATAGCACATCTATAGCTCAAAACTCAATGTGACTGATAATACTGTCAAATTAATAATAATGGTGGGGGAACAAATGCCATGTTCCTTTTTGGAATTTTCTGCTCATTGAGAGAGGAATAAGACATATTACAGAAAATTTCACTTACTAACAAATATGTTTATCAGGGGACCATGTCAGGGTTCAGTGAAGATTAGTAGCTATGGTACTCTTAAGATTTGTACCTTGGCTTAATTTAAAATAAGAGAAAACTACATTTTAAGTTGTGTCTCAATCTATAACTTTCCGGGCTTTGCTTTTTGCAATTTTTCCTGTAAAACTGATACTATCTAGGAATGCCAAGAAACAAGAAAATGGAATCCTTCTTTTGAGTATCTTTTTTCCCATGGAAGTTTAATTCTCAACTTACCCTGAAGAAGTAAAAAACATACCTCTTGGGTAGGACCAAAGAAATACACAATGCAAAGAGAAATACAGTAAGTCCTTATTTAACGTCATCGATAGGTTCTTAGAAACTACACCTTTAAGCAAAACGAGATAGAATGAAGACAATTTTACCATAGGCTAATTTAATTTACATAAACCAGGGTTATGTTCCTACAGTGTATTTCTGATCACATAAACATCACCAAACTTTTAAATAAAGACCCCAAACACTTCTAACATTAAAATTGAAATAAATGTGAGCTATACATACATTTAAGAAAGATTAATAAAAACAAGTAAGATAATTACCCAATTTTTGGTCAATCAGTGAGTGACAGAGGTTGTAGCAGTGGTGGGTTAAATCAAGAACCAAAAGTTTGCAAAGTCAAAATTGTAAGGAGCACCTTCTGCCATCACACAGTTCAAACACAAACAATAACTAACATGGTGGGCTCACTGACCACTTTCATACCACAACATTTATTGTCATGCATTTATGTAACTATCTTATAAAAATTTTAATTTTACTATAATTTATATTCATTCATTTTCCAACACACTTATTTCAGTTTAGGGTCACCAGTGGCCAGAGCCTGTCCCAGAAGCTCAGGGTGCTAGCTAGGAACCAACCCTGAACAGGATGCCATTTAATCACAGGGTGCACTCACACAGATGCCCACACGCATTCACACTGAGACAATTCGGACACGCCAATTCACCTAACATGCACAGCTTTGGGATGTGGGAGGAAACTGGAGTACTCAGAAAAAACTGACAGACATGGAGAGAACATGCAAACTCCTGACAGTGACCCAGGCGAGAGTCAATTTTTTTCTCATCATTATAAAAAAATGAAATTATGTAACAAAATGAAATGAATTATAATAAATGAAATGATATTATTCAGGGACTGCTGAACACAAATCATTTTCAGTGAAAAGCTCTGGGTATTTAGATCACATACAATATTTATTTTCTTCTGTATACTTTCATAAATTTTTCACATTTCCTTCAATAAAAACATGTTACTTTTATATTCAGAAAGTAACAAAATGTTATCTCAAAGAGATAATCTAAATTTTAGATTTTGCTCTGAAATCACTAGGGGCTATAAACACAGAATATGACTTAAATTAGAATGACAACATTTTTAATGAGAACAATGATGTGTATAAATGTTAAAAGCATCTGAAATAAACGTTTTACTACAATAACCTCATTCTTATACCAAGTACTAAAGAGGTGGCAACCAATGAGATAAGTAATAGCATATGGTTCAACATAAAATAAATATACAGGGCTAGAAAAGGATGGGTACAAAAGATCAAAGGCAAAGATCAAAGCTTGTCAAACCAGAAAGATCTCTGTTTGGAATGAGCCTTTATTCTTAGCTTTGATATAAACAAATTTTACATAGTTTACTATACAGTAACTTTATGTTTTGCTTTGTGGCCTATTTATATACACCCATACATACATGTGTACACATGTATGTACACATGTACACATGTATGTATGTGTGTATAAATAAGTATTTAAATAGTCTTTAATATTAAATAATATTTATTATCAAAGGGAATTAACAAGGACTTAAAAAATTTAAACACAAGGCTGGGCGTGGTGGCTCACGCCTGTAATCCTAGCACTCTGGGAGGCCGAGGCAGGTGGATTGTTTGAGCTCAGGAGTTCGAGACCAGCCTGAGCAAGAGCGAGACCCCGTCTCTACTAAAATTAGAAAGAAATTAATTGGACAACTAAAAATATATAGAAAAAATTAGCCAGGCATGGTGGCGCATGCCTGTAGTCCCAGCTACTTGGGAGGCTGAGGCAGTAGGATTGCTTGAGCCCAGGAGTTTGAGGTTGCTGTGAGCTAGGATGACACCACAGCACTCTAGCCTGGGCAACAGAGTGAGACTCTGTCTCAAAAAAAAAAAAAAAAAATTAAACACAAGAATTTTTTTTGAAGAAATGGACTCAGACAAAAATCCATGTAGTTATTATTAGCTACATTTGAAAGATGGTTCTTACATTATTTTAGTACTAAATAGACACTGGGCTATAATATTTAACACCCAGACATTAAAACATCACTTAGAAAAATTTAACTTTAAAATTAAAAAGAAAAGACAGTTAACATATCCAAATTAATTATAGCTATTTACTTTCAAAATTCATTTGATAAAAGTTAAACTTATCAATAAAAAAAAACAGAACAAATCAAACTCATGGAATGTTCAGAGTAGAGTAAAATCCTAAAATTATTACATTTCTTAATTACGTGATTTTCTGACAGGCCATAATCAAATGCAATCCAAGATACGAAGATCATCTTATCAGAATGAGACTCAGTACTAAAGACTATAAATTTGTTTAAACATTGACACAATATAGTCTACCCAAAACTATGTTGGGGGTGGAAGATAGAAGGTGACTTGCCTCCTAAGATAAATAAGATTCTGAATATGGAATACTCTCCTCACTCACAAGATATAATTTTAGTAATCCTGGGACTAGACATCTTTGAGTATTTCTGCCCCAACTTTAAAATGCTTCCTTTAGATAACTCCAATCTTTCTTTTACAGTATTTTCCCCCTCTTATTATATCAGGGAAAAAAAAACCTCAATTAGGGGACAAGAGCCTTTTAATACTCAACATCCTTTAATTTCCTTTTTAAGGAGGGTGTTCCCTGGGCTCAAGGTCGTCTGCAAATCACTGCAAAAGGTGAAGCCATCAAGAGGCTGGTCTGAAGTATTATCAGGGAGCAGTAGGCAGCAAATATTCAAACCCAGAAATTGTCACTCAACATTTCCCATATAGCTAAACAATTCTGCATAAATGACAAACCTTGTCAACAGGTTTTTGCCTGAAAAAGACAGAATGAAAAGACTGACAGATGTGAGGGTAAGATGTCTGAGTGTATGAATATCAATACTTACGTATCATACCTCTGCAGTGGTGTCACTTTGTTCTTATTCTTATCAACCGAACCCGTAGACAGCTGAAGAAAATTGGGATTTAATTTATATAATTCTTGAAGTAGCTTCTGTTCATATTCTTGGTGTTTACCCGCCTAATGAAAGAAATAATTAAAACTGCAGTGGGATTCACAAAATGGCTGGTATAAAACACTGAATTACCTTCTGAATTATTAAATATATGCTAAATAGAACATAAAAGGTATTTTCATGAAGTCAGAGAAACCTGTGAGGATGACATTGCAAAACTTCCAGACCAATGAAAATGATGCCAATAAAATCACATGATATATATTCCATAAATTAACCTCTTTATTATATAGAAAAGCATATTAAGGAGAGAATATTTTCACTAGCTCAAAAGCTATACAGGTACATTTTAAATCTACTTCCAAATCTTTCATGTAAGAATTAAGTCTTCTAACAGGTCATTACTGAGTTTTCTGAAAATTGCCCACAATCAATTGATCAATCAATCTCCTTTTTAATTCAGAGATTAACACAGATGAACAGTTTTACTATATATTACCTTGACACTCAGCAAAAATTTCATTAATTTGTTTTTACTCTCTCCTCCACTGTTACCAAGAGTAAAATAAAAATGTATTTTAAACTTTAGACCAAGGGTCAACAATTTATGGCCAGTCACCTATTTTCATAAATAAAGTTTTATTGGAACACAGTCATGCCCATTCATTTACATACTATCTATGGCTGCTATTCTGCTACAATGGCAGAGTGAAGTAGTTGTGACAGAGACTGCATAGCCCACAAATCCTAAAATATTTACTAACTGTCCTTTTTAAGAAAAAGTTTGCCAACTCCCATCCTATATGCTTTAAATTTAGACATGAGACTAGCAACAAAGAAGCAATCAAGGGTGAGTGGCCCGCAGCTAGGCAGGATCCAGTGAAGCTTCATTTGTATTTACAGCTGTTCCCCATGGCTTGAATCACTGCCTGAGTTTCACCCCCAACCTTTTGTGGAAAAATTGTCTTCCATGAAACAGATCCTAGGTGCCAAAAATGTTGGGGACGGCTGCTATACATAACAAGAGAACGCTGCATTTACTATAATTGGGTAGCTGTATCAGAAGGCAACATTACAAATGTTATGGGAGAAATTAGGCAAAGATTGTGGAAGCTAATCATACACAAAAATAAATGATAATAAAATTAATTACTTTGAGTAACTTTTTACTATTTAAATGCATATCATGACTGGAAAAGTGTTTTTACTTACCTTCAGGGACGTTAATTATTTTAAATTACGGTCTAAATAGATATTATGGCAAAATCAAAATGGAACAGATCAAAACAAAAGCAAAACAATAACAAGTGAGGGCAATGTCATTTAATTGAGTTCAACTGTATCACGTATACTGCACAATGCATCGTTCCCTGTTCTTAGAGGCTACTTGCCTATTTCAATTGGACCTATAAATATTTCCCATGGTACTAAATTCTGAACTATGAAGTAACAAGGAAAGATTTTCTGATTTTTGCCATGATATACCTTATTCAAATTTCCTTTCTACACTGAGGAAGTATTTTTAACAAAGAAATCCCTTTTCAAAGTAATTTAAACTCAGGTAAAGAGCAGGATGAATTCAGGACAACGCTATGAAATAAATTTTAAATTATTTTTAAAAATACATTTAGATGTGGATTTTACATCTTTAAAACATGAAAAGCCTTGAAAATTCTTGCTGCAATCAATACTTCAGGAGTTATTATGGCTTTCATTAGCCACAAAGAGTTCAAGCTGATATTAAAATGATTCTATAGGGGCAGTTCATAAAGACAGGTTAAATCCCATTACAAACGAGTTCCAAACGACTGTCTGTACATTTTCTTTTATAGTTCAATAAGACTTACTTTTTTTTTTTTTTTTTTAGAGACAAGGTCTCATACTCTGTCACCCAGGCTGGAGTGCAGGGGTGTGACCATAGTTCACTGCAGCCTTGAACTCCTGGGCTCAAGGGATCCCCCTGCCTTATCCTCCTGAGTAGCTAGGACTACAGGCCCACGCCACCGCATCCAGCTATTTTTATAACTTTTTTGTAGAGATGGGGTCTTGCTGTGTTGCCCAGGCTGGTCTTGAACTCTTGGCCTCAACAATCCACCCCCTATCCCCGGCCTCCCAAAGTGCGGGAATTATAGGCGTGAGCCACCACACCCAGGCCAATGAAGCTTTAAATGAGATCAATTGGGCCTTGGATATTCTTTGATAGAAATTTTCACTGTAACCGAACATGTCAGTAAAGTATACCTTCACTACTAGCTAAAATTAGTTTGAAATGGTTCCATCTTAAATTTCATTCAAAAAACACAACAAAAAAGCATATACTGAAGTAAGAGATCAGTACGTCCCTGTTAAATATCAGATAGACCTTATTTTAACATTGTTTTTAATCATAAAAACCATACTATCAAGAAACTCCAGTGCATTTATTATAATGGGATTTAATCTGTACTAGCTCCAAGTCAAAAAAGGTAATACTTCATTTTATTTAACAATATTCTCTTAAAGGAGTCCCCACCAGACTTTCTCTAGTTTGACCTGGAGAATGAAAGGTAGCAATGAATGCCCCCCACCTTCTAAATGAGAAGTATTCCTGAAAAGTCCACAGCAACAATCTGAAGTCCTCATCTACAATAGGGAAGTGCAGCATTGTGCTTTGGTATAATCCTCATTTAATATGCCGTATGGTCAATATTTTTACTTGTAAAGGCATGTTTATACTACAAATTGAAAGGAGACAGGAGAAGAGGATATGTAAAAAAGAACATAGGATATTAAGCCTTCGATACATCCTTTACAGGATATGATTCAGGGGACGCTTTCACTGGGAGAATCACTGTAATAAAAATAATGTTAGCTTATTAGTATTGATTGACAGAATATTATTTTCTGGCATGCTCTGTAAAAAGTAGAGATTGGGCCAACAAAACAACTAATAAGTACAGTATTCCACTTACCTTTCATTTTGTTGACATTCCCCTTAAAGTAGCATTTCCCAAAGTGCTTTCCTTGGTCAATTAAGTTCTAGTTATACATCCCCCTCTTACACATGTATTAGCATATTAAAGACTTTGAGAAGTCCTACAATAGAGAAACCTGTTTATCTTCATTTATCTAGCATTTTAAAACTTAGTTGACCATAGATCCATTTTTATTGTAACAATATGCTGCAGAATGGACATTCTCTGGAACATTTTGTTTAGAAAATGCTACTTTAAAGTAATATTTGTTTTTTAAAAAAATCAAATTCTTAGTTTTTGCTTTTACAATTATAACTTACAAAGAAAAAGTACTCCCTTTTCTACAAAGTTGATAATTCACATGACTTTACTACCTGCATTTCTTCTTTTGTGAAGCTTGCAGCCTCATCCCCCAATTCATGTAGATACATGCAGTCGGGTTTGGGGCACTGCATATTCTTTAAGAAGTAACTGCAGTATTTTGTTGTACCTAGAGATGCCTGCAGGAAAAAAGGGGGTAAGGGAAAAGAGGACTCAAAATATGAACTGAGACCACAACGAAAATTTCCATATTTAGTGTTTTCATTTCACTTAAAACCAGGCATAGACAAGACAAAACAAGAAGTATGGCTGCGAATACTACAGAAACGGACCATCACTGGTAGGATTTATTACAGATGATGCTCATCTGGAAGAACTAAAGAAAATGGCTCAATCTATGGCTTCCAGAACTTGAATACCCAAATCTTCTTCCCTATACATCAGGAGAGGAGATAGACAAAGATCCATTCCATGTTATGAGTGGTTAGGCACATAAGAAGGCAAATCCTTTTTCTAATTATGCCATCCTTCTATTTAGATAAAGCATTGTTTGTTGGGACCTTTTGCTAAAACCTGAATCAATGACCAGATATTTCAGAATAAAAAATTAGAACCATTACCATTTCTGATGAGAAGAATAATGGTTCCATTTTCACAAAATTTTATGTAAAAATGGGAGATTTGTAAAGATTATCCCCTAATAATCAACATGTTTATTCCTACCTAGTAAAACAGAACCCTGTATAAGTCAGCAGTAAACAAATTAGTTATCATAGGTTGGTAAGGATACCTAAGACACAATCTTAAAATTAACAGTCTTCAAATTTAATATATAAATGCTAGGTTCTCCTCAACTTATACATCTTATCCCTTCCCTTTTAAAAGAAAAAAATATCAAGAGGACCATATTACCTTAAGTGTTCTTCCATCTACTACCACATTGTTGACACACTGTATGGCTCTGAGAGCATCTTCTGACCGGATATAGGTTACATAAGCACTGGCACTTGGACCCTAAAGTGAAAACATCCCACTTCACTGTTAGTAGTTTCAAATTAAACAACACTTAAAAAAAATTTCTTTTACAACCTAGGAAATTCTAAAGACCTTTACTACCACTATTACTAATAGTAATGACAATAATTAGAAGTGGTAGCAGTTTTGATTAAATACTAAAAGCAATCACACTTAATGAGTTTTATCTGATTTAAAGTAGACTATAACATATATGAATAAAATATTATCTTTTGCTTGGTATTTATTTTTTTAAAAAGTCATTTGACAGGCTCGTGAAGGTTAAAAAATTTTTGAGATTTATAGATTTTTAAAAATCAGATTTAAAGACACTGTGTCATACTGTGTTCTGTCAAAAATAAATACTATAACAGCATTCTATCTGCTAATACCAGCATAACAAAGATGCTCCATTAAGTTTTCAATACCTAAAAATACTATGAATTAGAAATCATTATCTAATTATCAGATTGCCTGATAACAGACTCAACTACCCCTCCCCTTCACTCCATCACTAAATCTTTGTTTTCCTATTTCCCCCTTACTATCAATTTACTATTAAGTCTTAGAAGGGTCAAGTGAGCACCAAAAATTCCCCCACCCCACCAATGGAGTTCACTACACTGTTTAAGTCCATGTCCCTCAAGCTTTCTAATCACAGAAAGCAAATTTTCCTTTTGAACAGCCCAGGTCAAGCCCAGACCATAGGGAGGAAAGGCAAAAATCCCTATAATTAGTTACCTGTGAGCCTGCATATGATGTGCTATTATTGATGACAACTTTATGTATTTTACCAAACTTCCCAAAATATTCTGGTCGTTTTAAAACCTATAAAAGAAGAAGAAATAAGGTATAAACTGTCCCCATTTTCATCAACTTTATCCTTATAATGGGAACATTCACCATCCCTCTTCAGTGAAAAGAAAATATTAATTTTTAAAGTTTTCTAATAAATGTGACTACTTCCTAACTGCAATTTGTGAAGCTAACCTCACAAGAGATCAAGAGTCTAAAAGCTATTCTTTTTTTGACCCACTGAATAGAAACTGAGACTCAGTAAGTTTGCTATTGTCTACTGTGTTCTAATATCTATAACAATAATATGGGGAGATCTTACCTTCACAGTATTTTTAAACATAAAACAGATCAAAGATCTTAACTACATTAATAAATGATCCTTGTAAGAAAGTAATTCTCAAACCAATGACCAAAATTACATATCACAGCAGGGATAGAACTAAAGAACAGACACGAGTAGAGACAGTCCTTACTCATAAATCTATTGCATATATTTGATATACATTAAAATATTACTTATAGCTACAAATTAAAAATATAACAGAGTGCCCCCTCAACCTTCTATGCTTTATGATTTATCATTGTGTATATAGTTTCCTATGTCAATCAATTTCACCATTTCTCAACTGCCCTGTGGGTTATTTTTCCCTCTTTTCTTGGTAAATATCATTTGGGAAACAAATTTGTACATTTCTTTCTTTATTACCTGGTTATTTCTTGGTAGTTATTTCCCCCTCATACTTATCTCACCCCTTTTACTTTGTGATTGCTATATGAATTCTTTTAGCTTCTTTTACAAACTTAACCTTGGCTAACTTGACCAGTATGTAACTTGATACAAAAACCTCTGCTATGGGTGCAGTGGCTCATGCCTGTAATCCCAGCAATTTGGGGTGCTGAGGCAGGAGGATAGCTGAAGGCCAGGAATTTGAGACCAGCCTGGGCAACACAGCAAGACACCATCTCTACAAAAAATTAAAAAACAAAACCAGAAAACCTGCCTGAGAAGGAACAGACATAATTAAAAAAAAAAAGGGAAGAAAAGAAAAGGAAAAAACCAGAAAACCCTCTCCCATGATTTGCAATTACTTCAAAATTAATTTGGTGGTTTCCTAGAATTTACCTTTAGACCTACTATTCCTACAATTTCTCCAAATAGCAAGCTCTCTCTCAATGTTTGATAATATTCTCACACACTTATAATCTAGCTACAATGTTCTGCATTTGACAGACTCAAAGCTTCATGAAATAGTTTATGGTTGGTGTATCACTAATTCTTAGTCTTCAACTTAATTCATGTAAAGTAATTAACCTTACCACACTTTATTGTAGGTGCTTGTAAGTATAGGGTTGTGATGTTTGCTACAGCCAATTTTAATGTACTAGAAGATGAGCTGATTACACTGGTCTTTAATCTTTTTTCCACTCAAATCCCCTGAGGAATATGATAGTAATAGTGGCTAATGCAATGACTCTCAGGTTATTCCTAACAAAGTCTCTGGGTTGAGGGATAGGGAAGAGTATAGTTTGAAAATGCTTTCTGGCAAGTGGAGTTTGGAACTGCATTCAATATTTCAGCTGGATGTACACCAACTCAGCAACTGGCCTCACAGCTCAAACACCTGCTCCCAAGGGTTCAGGCTGGTCACAGGTTATCCTATATCAGCATCTCCTACGTGTGAGCTTACGGCAGTAGTTCTCAATGAGGGAAACACTCAAGGGGGCATTTTGGAAATTTGTGGAAGCTTGTATTGGGGGAGACTGTAAAAGCAACTGGGATACACTACTGCGTTCAGTGGATAGGACCCAGGAATGTCTTACAAGGCTCATGCTAGCCCTGCACAATAAAAAACAGTCCCGCATAACTTTTCAATGTCCTACAAGATGTTCATGAAGCTGAGAAAGCCTGTTTATAATTAAGTGAACCTGGAAACAAATCCATATTACATATAAACACAAAGTATTTTCCTAGTTTTGACATATATTAAATTTATAGAAAAGTAGAGAATATATAATTAAGGGAAGACTACACATGCTTTGGTTGAAATTTTACTAAGATTTTTTTCAGAAAAATCACTTCATTGGCATTTCATGGAAGCTGAGCTGCCAATATATACACCTGTAACAACCTGCATTTGCAGTTGTCACACTCAGTGATTCTACAAATAGTGCCAGAATCTTACTACCTTATTACATAGTGTAAAATAGTATTTCAAGAACTTGAATACACATATAAATCTAGTTAAAATGCAGATTCAGATCCAGTAGATCTGAGGCAGTGCCTGACAGTGGGCATAATAACCTCCCAGGTGATACTAATGCTACTGGCCCAGACACCACACTTTGAATAGCAAGGTTCTCAAGCAACAGAATTCTCAAGAATTTACATGTAGAAATAGTCTTTCCAAAGGCTGGGCGCGGTGGCTCACGCCTGTAATCCTAGCACTCTGGGAGGCTGAGGTGGGCGTATTGTTTGAGCTCAGGAGTTTGAGACCAGCCTGAGCAAGAGCGAGACCCCGTCTCTACTAAAATTAGAAAGAAATTAATCAGCCAACCAAAAATATATAGAAAAATTTAGCTGGGCATGGTGGCGCATGCCTGTAGTCCCAGCTACTTGGGAGGCTGAGGCAGAAGGATCACTTGAGCCCAGGAGTTTGAGGTTGCTGACGCCACCACACTCACTCTAGCCCGGGCAAGAGTGAGACTCTGTCTCAAAAAAAAAAAAAAGAAAAGAAAAAAAAGAAATAGTCTTTCCATATTTATTTTTCTTTTATTTCTCCTTTATATATTTTTTTCAAATTATGTGTGTGGACAAATTATGCTGTCAAGAAGTCATTTCAATAAAGTCAAGGGATGTTATAAAATATTAGTTTTTAAAAAGTGGGCACTGAATCTGATATGGCTGAATATCACTGGTTTATGGAAACAGTATCTTGCCAACATTCAGGTATAACACCTTCATAGCGACATAAGATTGTTATATAATTATACTGACACGTCCACACTGCAGCTAGAAAGATACTTTCAAAGCACAAACCTAGCTATGTTACTGTTCATGAGAATATTCAACAGCTTTCCACTGCCTTTAGGATAAAGAGCAAACTCCTCAGCATGGTTAGAAAGCCCTTCATGATCCATTACTACTTACCTTGATAACCTTATCTCTCACCATTGCACTCTAATCTTCCAGCCAAACAAATCACTTGCAGATCCAGGTCTTTTTCATCCAGAAGCATTTGTACAGTTCCTGTGCCAGAGGCACTTTACCCCAAAGACAGCAGAGGGGTAGTTACCTCCCTCCCAAGATCAGGTACTATCCTTTGTGCTTCCATAGCCTATAGTACTTCTCCTATGTATTGTTACTTTTGTAAATAAGCAGGTACTACCTTGCTGCTTATCCAGTTTATACTCAGTGTCACATGTAGTGCCTTATTGTAGGTACTCAGTAAATGCTTACTGAAAAACTGAACTGTCTTAGTATTGAGCAAAAAGAATTACGTGAATATATAACATTGGTGGGCCTCAAAGTATTAGCAAATGGCTAGTGGCTGATAAGAAACAGGCCGCCCAAGTAGGGGAAATTCAAAGAATTTAAACTCTCCATATTAACTTGAACATTTAAGATTCTGCCTAAATAACCAGCAAAATAGTATTCTAGTGAATAAAAGGTAAGGGGAGTAGACAGAGTACCCTGTACATCAGCACACTATCTAAATACTTGCTGTTATGTATTTACTTCACAGTGGGCCAGTTTTAGTACTAACAGACTATAAAAGGCCATGTGACAGAATTACAAATATCCAATGGTATGCCTAATGACTAAAATGTGCTGCTATATATTCTTTGGGAACACAGTCAAATATTCATGGACACTACGGAGAAAAACAAAAACTTGGTAATCAGATGGATAGAAGAATATAAATGAACGAGTGGGTGAACAAGTGGCCCAATCATCAGTATACAGTGGAACAGGAGCTGTAAGACCATAGGCAAGTCACGCAACTTCCCTTTGCCTCAGTTTCTTATTTGTAAAATGAACTGCTGTGTCTTTTAAGTCTTTTAGTTTCTCAAACAAGCTGTTCTCTCGGGCTATCACACTGGGAAACTACTGTTCATGTATGCTGCCTAGCTAACACCTATTAATTCTTCAAGCCTACCCTAATTATCCTTCCTCAGAGAGCCTCTGTGAATCTCCACACTAAGTACTCAACTGCTATATGTTCCCAAAGAGCTGTGTACTTCCCTTTTTATAAATGCTCAACACACACGTAAGCACTGAAATTGTCTTCCCTACTAGTCTGTAAGCTTGCTAAGGGTAAAGACTGTGTCTGGCTTGCTAACTACTTTATTTCCAACATCAAAATGCCTAGCATGTGTTAAGTATTCAAGAATTAATTTTCAGAATAAATGAATTAGGTCACTACAAATCTACCATTTTAGGACTTAGAAGACAATCATCATTGTCTGTAATCTAATCATCACATCTAATTACCATGTCTTCTAAGATAGTTTTTCTATTAGCCAATAAATGAATATATTTGACAATTAATCTTGGTATGAAGCTTTCTGATGTACAAAAATTATTTTCAAACTAAGCCTTAATTATTCCTAAACTCTCCCATTTTGTTAATCTGAATTTAGTCAAATATCAAATTGTTCATCAACAAAAAGGTAAGTAAACTATATGGATCTTCTTTGGCTTGAAAGTAACACTAACAATTTGAAAATTCTTCAGAGTTTTCGGTGAAGTCAACTTTAAGTTTTTCAAAAACTGAAAAGGTTATATAGACAAATTAAGTGAATTTTAAAAGATACTTAAAAGTGGTAGTATTTAATAAAAAACACTTGGGCCCG